GAGGAGGAGGAGGGGAGGAGGAGTAGGAGTAGGGAGAGGGGAGAGGAGGATATGAGTGGACGGCGATGACGACCACGAGGAGAACGGGAACTCGTCGCGGAGGCAACACGTTGCTGCACTCCGCGGCCACCTCCGGGAAGCAAGACATCTGCGAGTTAATAGTCGAGGAGGGCAAAGCGAAGGATGCTTCCTATTTTTTGTTCTCTCTTTCTCTCTCTACCTCTGTCTTTCTCTCTCCGTTTCTCTCGCTTTCGTCGCCGTCGTCTCTCATTTTTGACTTGTCTCTTTCTTGATTTCTCTCTTTCCCTTTCTCTTTCAGAAGACTGGGATGATAATGAGGAGGAGGCTGAGGACCAGTGTAAACCCAAGACTCATCAACGATGCTTGGAATACACCGTCCCTTTAAGCTCCCTCTTCATAGGCCCCTACAAGGGTTCATTTCCACTGAGGGAATTGCCCCGCCGTGTGAAAATCTTAAAGCATAACAGAACATTATTCCCATGACGTCAACGCCACGAGTTAACCTGGCTGGTACGTCTTGGCGGTCCTGAATCGTGCCAGAACACCATTCCTGGGACTTCAACGCTGAGAATCAGCGTAACTGTTACGCCCTGACAATCTTGAATTGTTCCAGAACGCGATTTTTTGTGCGCTAGCCAGGGGAATCAGTGAAACTCTTGCGAATTCTTACAAAGAGTATGCGCGGCGCTAAGGTGAGAGCCACAAGAGAAACGGACCGCCCTCAATCCGTGAAGCTCTTGCATTTTAATGAACACGAATGTTCGCGGCGCCAAGGCGAGAGCCACATTTTGAAAATCACCCGCCTACAATCCGTGAAGCTAATGCAGTTTTTCCCTACCTAGGCTCTGCCTAGAAGGGTTCTTACTCGGTATGCTTAAAGGGCCGGGCAGTGCAACTCGCCCCGGGCGGTTCCCCCAGTATCCGCCCCGCGGTTCCCCCAGTTACGTCCCCTTAGCTTAGCGTTGCTTATCTCATCTTAGCTTAGCTTATTTCATCTTAGCTTAGCTTCATCTTAGCTTAACTTAGCTTCATATAGATGTTGCATAGCGCAGCGCTGCATTCTCATAACATAACATAGCATAGCATAGCCAAGCATAGCATAGCATAGCGCAGCATAGCATAACATAGCATAACATCGCATAGCGCAGCTTAGCATAGCATAGCTAAGCTTAAACGGCCGGGCAGTGGGGCTCGCCCCGCCCCCCCCCATCCCCCCCCCCCCCCCCGCCCCGGGCGGTTCCCCGGCATCCGCCCCGCGGTTCCCCCAGTGACGTTCCCTTAGCTTCGCGTTGCTTATCTCATCTTAGCTTAACTTATTTCATCATACCTTAGCTTAGCTTCATCTTACCTCAGTTTTATCTTAGCTTAGCTTACCTTCATCTTAGCTTCGCTGAGCTTTAGCATAGCAGAGCACAGCATAGCATAGCAGAGCGTAGCACAGCACAGCGCAGCACAGCATATTACAGCACAGCGCAGCACAGCGCAGCACAGAAGCCCCCCAAAACACACCCAGCGACGCACCACTTCTCCCCCCCTTAGGGGTCGGCGGGTTGGCGTAATCCCCATCGTATTTTTCCCTACCTAGGCTCTGCCTAGAAGGGTTCTTACTCGCTTGGCTTAAAGGGGCCGGGCAGTGCAAACCGCCCCGGGCGGTTCCCCCAGTCCCTTGGGAGCCAAGCAAAAGCAACAGCAAAGGTAAAAGCAAACGCGCGGTTCCCCCCCTTGCGCTCCCTGGGTGCCAAGCAAAAGCAAAAGCAAAGGCAAAAGTGAAGGCAACAGCGAAGGCAAAGCAAAAGCATAGCATAGCATAGCATACGCAGCATAGCATAGCGCAGCATAGCATAGCATAGCATAGCCTAGCCTAGCCCAGCCCAGCATAGAATTGCGCAGCATAGCATAGCATAGCATAGCATAGCATATCATAGCATAGCATAGCGACTTGCTGCGGGCTTCTGCTGCTGCTTCACTTACGGCGTGGCGTCGGCGGTTCTGGCGCTACTACCACTACTACTACTACTACTACTACTACTACTACTACTACTACTACTACTACTACTACTACCTACCTACCTACCTACCTACCTACCAACTACCTACCTACCTACCTACCTACCTACCTACCTACCTACCTACCTACCTACCTACCTACCTACCTACCTACCTACCTACTACTACTACTACTACTACTACGACTACTACTACGACTACTACTACTACTACGACGACGACGACTACTACTACTACTACTACTACTACTACTACTACTACTACTACTACTACTACTACTACTACTACTACCGCTACTGCTACAACTGCGACGATGAGGAGAAGGAGGAGGACGGCGTTTACCGCTCCTACTAATGCTGCTTTCCTAGAGGCTCCAACTCCTAGGTAGGGTCGCACTGGGATAATTTTAACACGAGTCTGCGCGGCGCTGAGGCGAGAACCACATTTTGAAAACCACCCGCCTTCACTCCGTGAAATTCTTGCACTTTTTAGCACGAGTGTGCGCGGCGATGAGGCCAGAGCCATATTTTGAAAACCGCCCGAATTGAATCCGTGGCAATCGAACACGTATGTGCGCGGCGCTCAGGCGAAAACCACATTTTGAAAACCACCCGCCCTTAATTTGTGAAGCTCTTGCTATTTGTTTCACGAACGTGCGCGGCGCTAAGGCGACATTCACATTTAGAAAACCGCCCGACCTCTATTTCTGAAGCTGTTACTAATATTAGGCTTCAGGATCATAAATGGTGAGGAAGTCTCAGGAGAAGCGCACGGCCCGCCCTTTCGACTGGCCTCGGTGTGCGACTCGGAGGAGTTATCTATAAGGAAGAAGGATGGAGGAGGAGCACGATAGAGGAGCAGCAGAGAGGGGAATGGGGGAGAGGAACAGGAGGGGGAGGAGAGGGACAGGGAAGGTGTCGAAACATGATGACGCGGAGGAGAGGGGGAGGACGCGGACTCCAACGATGCCGATGGCGAGGGGGATGGCGATATGGGTAGAGCATCAGGGGGAATATATGGAAGCGGAGAACGAGAACAATGCAAAAGGCTAGGAGGGAGGAAGAGACGGGCGGAATATAAGACGAAAGTGCCGAGTGCTCCGTGGGCGAAAGAAAGCACATTCGGATCATGCAGCCGAGTGAGGTGGCGATACTGCTGATGATTGCGATCATGACCGCATTGGCGATGGCAAGTAAGATGATGGTCATCGGGCAGGGGGAGAGAGACATTGCCGTGGGACATGCACGGGAATGGAGGGTAGGAGGATGGCAGGCCGGACCGCCCTGCAGCCGCACTGGCTCGAAGAAGGGTTCGTCCTGCCATCCTGCCATCCTGATGATGACGATGATGACGGTGCTAGTCTTGTCCATGATGGGCCGAATGCATCGGCACGAGCCAAAGTGCCACATCTGAGGTAACCTCGGGCCTGCCGCCCTCGTGGCCACGCTGCCGACGGCCCACCGTCACCACAGAGCCTGCCATGCCGCGCGGCGCTCCCCCGCGTGGCGGCGCCGGGCCTTTCGCTCGAAGCAGCGACGCTGCCTCCGCCACGCGGCCCTCGGATCCGGGGTGGGGGGCCCCGGAGCTCGAAGCAGGATCGGGGTTTTCGGACGTGTTGTGCTGGCTGCCTGCCTGCCGGTAGAGGCTTCTGGGGACCCCGGGGCACCTCCGGAGGCCCTCGCCTCCCTGACGTCCGGGCGTCGTGAACAGAAATCGCGACAGGTTTCTCCCGTCCCGCTTCGGGCCAAGGTGGCCCTCGCGGGTCGGCCCAGCTCGCGAGATCGCGCACACAGATTCGGTCGGGAGCTCTGATCGTGTTTTTTCTTTCACGATGTTGAATCGACATTGCCCAAGCCTAGTTATACTATGTGTGCGTCGGCCGAGCAGGAGCATAAGCACACTCTCTTCTGTTGTCTGCGTCCCATGACAGAGTTTTCATTCCGTTGGACCTCGGAGGTGGAGGGATGTGAGTGTGGGTGGCTTGGCCGAGTGCTGCTTTCATGCCCGAGAGCACTGCTGTGGAGTCTGCCGAGGGCATGCTTGTCGAGACAGTTTGTTTCAATCATCGTATCTCTCGAGGCTGGCAGAGAGGCCAGACACAGGGGGATGAGGAGCCAGAGAAGGAGTAGCAGAGAAGGAGCAGGGGAATGCGTTGGAGGCACGGACAGATTTTGTGACACGGAGCGTTCCAGTTGAAGAGCGGATGCGGGCGGTTGGTACCACAGGTCGTGATTCTCTCGGATTTTGCTCCTGGCCTCTCTCCCATCGCAGCCCCTCTGCCACGTCGAGATGCTTCTCCAGCCTGCACTGTGCCATCCACAGGTGGACTCGCGGGACTCCAAGGCCAGCGCTGGTCTTTTGTTTCAGAGCGCTCTGATGTTCCTTGGTGCATACTGGCCTCCCACACTCACTGTGTCCTTGGGGCGACGCGGCTGCATGCTGGCCCACGGAGCCATTGCTGACAATGGTTTGTCGCCACCAGTCCTCGCCCCGACTCCAGGCGCACGCCAGTCCCCGCTTTGTCTCGGATGGCTTCTGTTGGTTTCTGGTGGCCTCAGCGTGTGATGCTTGCCTTTTTTTTTCCTGTCGTCTCGTCTATTATTCGTTTGGCCTTTGCCTTGGGTTTGCCGTCTCCAGAGCCTGTTGATGTTCATTAACTGTTCGCCGTGTCCTTCAAAACATAGCGGCATCTCTCTTTTTGAGCGAAAGCCGCTCGACAGGTTGTTCAGTATTTACGAGGGGGTTCCGCATACAATCATGCGAATTCATGTGCGTGTGTGTTTTCCAGTTCTGACCTTTGGTCGTGCCCTCCCCGCCGACAGGGCTGGACCCCGCTGATGGTGGCGGCGTTCTATGGCCACAAGAAGCTGTGCGTGTACCTCCGCAGCAAAGGCGCCAGGAGCTTGGCAGTTAACCCGCATAGTACGGGAGGCAACCTTCCCAAGGATGCCCTTGCCTCCTTGCCCCTTCGACACATCCTCGGCGACTCACTCTGGCCTACCTCGTTCGAGAAGCGCTAACGTGGCCCTCCAATGCCTTTGCATCCTTACCGCGCATCCTTGTGATACGGGTTGACCGCAGTCGGTGGGTGGCTGTGGGCGGATGGGTTGGGGGTGGTTGGGTCGGGGTTGGCTCGGGGGCGCATCGAGGTTAGTCTTGTGGAGGACGATCAATGGAGAGGAAGCACGTTGCCAAATAATTTCCAGATGTTTTTAACATGTGTTAAAGCTGTTTTGAGCATGTACAAGAAACATGTGTTAAACATTTCCAGGACGTTTTCCCGACAATTTTAGCACTTTTTAATTCGATGATAGGACTGTTAGGGTGTCCATTGTCGTGGCATCCACAAGGTTAGCCGCAGGGCACGGGAGGAGCCAGAGGACTCCAGTGGTGGTAGAGTGGCGCAGCGGGGCCTTCTCGAGAGCCCGGGCGGCAGGGCCCGGGGCCCGGCGCGAGGAGGCCGCGAGCGCACGGGGCGGGGAGGGGCAAGGGGAGGGGCAGCACACACTGCAGCACGGTGCTGGCGGCGGGGGCCTGTTGTCGGCGGCGAGCAGAGGGGGGGAAGCGGGAGGGGGCGGGCCTTCTCAGAAGGCTCGGAAGGCTTCGGGCCCGTTCTGAAGTTTTCTACGCCTTCCCCGAAGGCGCAGCAAACTTCTCGGAAGGCTGGGAAGGCTTCGGGCCTTCTGAGAAGTTTTCGACGCCTTCCCCGAAGGCGCAGAACACTTCTCAGAAGGCCGGAAGGCTGCTGAAAAGCCCCGCCGCTATCTGAGGAGGCCTGCGCCTTCTCACTTCCCCCCCAGGCGCGCCGCCGATGTTGGAGAAGGAAGAAGCAGGACACATAGACTGCGGCAGAGGATCACAGCCGCGCTGTGTGACCGAGCGGCTGGCCAGAAGAAAACTTTACTTCCGATCCAGCAGGGCGAGATTATGAGCGGAAGGAACAGGGTGGACGTTCGAGCCGGGGATTTTTTCACAACCACCACCTTGGGGATCATTGTGTATGTATATGTGCAGGTATGCGTATATACATGTACACATCCATGCATATGTGTATGTATTTCTATACGTACTTGTATACCCATATGCACATGTATATGTATATATACACATATTTATGTACATGTACGTGTTTATGCTTATCTATATATACGGATGAATGCATACATATATATATATATATGTTCATATGCACATGTATACTTATATGTGTATGTGTATGCATGCATTTATATATATGGGTATATATATGTACATTCACATGTATAGGCATATGTATATGTACATGTGCATGCGCATGTATACGTATACATATGTGTGTCTGTGTATGTACATGTGTTTGTATACGTACATGTAAATGTGCATGGGCAGATGTATGTATATGTATTTGTGTGTGCATATCTACATGTGCATGTACATGTAACTGCACATGCATATGCATATGTATATGTATACGTATGTGTATACATATGTATTTGTATGTGTTTATGTAAATGTATATGGACATGTACACGCATCTCCATATGTATCTGTATATATATACATATATAAATGTATATGTATATGTATATGTATATGTATGTATATATATATATATATGCATTGCCGAGGTAACCGGGTTCCCCGTTCGAGCCGGCGCCCAAGACTCTATTTGAAAACGCTATTCCATGTGAAGACGCATCGCTGTGAAGACGCTATTCCTTGTCAAGACGCTATTCCATGTGAAGACGCTATTCCCTGTGAAGACGCTATTCCCAGTGATGACGCTAGTCAGAGTGAAGACGCGATTCCCGGTGCAGACGCTATTCCCGGTGAGGACCCTATTCCCTGTGAAGACCCGTTCTGCGGACACAAACAGCACTTCCCCTGTGAAGACGCTATTCCCTGTGAAAACGCTATTCCGGGTGAAGACGTGATTTCTTGTGAAGACGCTATTCCGGGTGTAGGCGCTATTCTGTATGAAGACGCTATTCCATGTGAAAACGCTATTTCCTGTGAAGACACTATTCCCTGTGAAGACGCTGTTCCTTGTGAAGACGCTATTCCCGGCGAAAACGCTATTCCAGGTGAGGACTCTATTCCCAGTGAACACGCGATTCGGGGTGAAGACGCTATTCCGGGTGAAGACCCTTTTCTTTGTGAAGACGCTATTCTGGGTGAAGACGCTATTCCCTGTGAAGACGCCATTCTCTGTGAAGACGCTATTCCCTTTCAAGACGCTGTTCCTTGTGAAGACGCTATTCCTGGTGAAAACGCTATTCCCTGTGAAGACTATTCCCAGTGAAGACGCTATTCTGGGTGAAGACGCTATTCCGGGCGAAGACGCTAATCCCGGTGAAGACGCTATTCCTCATGAAGACGCTCTTCCCAGTGAAGACGCTATTCCTACGCTATTCCCTGTGAAGACGCTATTCCCGGTGAAGACGCTAATTCCGGTCAAGACGCTATTCCCTGTGAAGACGCTATTCTGGGTGAAGACGCTATTCCCTGTGAAGACGCTTTTCCCGGTGAAGACGCTATTCTGTGTGAAGACGCTATTCCAGCTGAAGACGCTATTTCCGGTGAAGACGCAATTTGTTGTGAAGATTCTATTCCGTGTGAAAACGCTATTCCTTATGAAGACGCTATTCCCTGTGAAGACGCTATTCCTTGTGAAAACTCGATTCAGGACGCCATGCCCGTTGAAGACGCTATTCTGGGTGATGACGCTTTTCCTTGTGAAGATGCTTCTTCTGTTCACCAGGCCCAGTAGTCAACACGCTCCCCTCCCAATTGTAATTTGGAAGTGCGATTTTACTCTCTACGCTTTCCGTGTCCAACACAACACGTGCCCCATCTGCTGTGCGACGCCCTGTGCTAGACAAGACCCTTCCCCAGGGTGTTTAAAACATAATCTTTGGTGCTAGACATGCCCCATCTGCTGTGCAACACCCCCAGGTGGGCAAGACCCCTCCTGGAGGATCCCTCCCCAAGTTGATACAAAAAAGAACCCTTGGTGTTAGACGCGCCCCATCTGCTGTGCGGCGCCCTCTGCTAGGCAGGACCCTTCCCCAAGCTGATAGAAAGCCCTTGATGTTAGACGTGCACCATCTGTTGTGCGGCACCTTCTGCTACGCAAGACCCCTCCCCAACATGATTAAAACATTAGCCTGGCGAAGGACCCAACCATATGCTGCTGTGAGTACCGCAATTATGAATATCATCTTCGCTCGCGCTCCCTATGGGGCCACGAACCGTGTGAGGGGCGTGCCGACATGCGTGGCGGGGCACACAACGCGAGCGAAAACGGTAGGTGTGCGAGAGACTGAGAGCGAGCGAGTCTGATTGTGGAGGAGTCTGCGCGCGCGTGAGTCTACGTGCATAAATGTCGACGCCCCTGTCGGCGCGCCTCTCACGAAGATCGCGCCCGCTTCCTTCCCGTTGTTCTTCTCCCTCTTTGCCCGTGCGCGCCCACGTCCAAGGCTGCGGGCGCGGCGCCGCACAAAGTCCCTGCGACGCGCGCTGGTCGCCCCGAAGGGGTCCCAGCGACGCGCGCGGGTCGTCCGCTGCGCGGAGCAGGGAGAGCGAGCAGGCTGGCTCCCGCCCGGCATGCGCGGTCCGAAAGCGGCCTCAATACGTCGAATACGACGAACAAGCTTCGGACATCGAAAGTCGCCGCCATGCGAACTCCGCCAGTGGGACGCCATGCGAGTCCGCCACGGAGACTTTAGGTGGAGCTCCATGTGGGGACACGAAACGCTGTACTGGGTGGTGGATGACGCATGCGGGCGGTCCCAGTGGGGCCTTCGGTGGAGCCCCCCATGGGGCCACGAAACGCTGTACTGGGTGGTGGATGACGCGTGCGGGCGGTCCCACTGGTGCCTTCGGTGGAGCTGTCCATGGGGCCGCGAAGCGCTGTACTGAACGGTAGGTGACGCCTGCGGGCGTGGTCCAATTGGGGCCGTCGGTGGAGCTCCCTATGGGGCCACGAAGCGCTGTACTGGGTGGTGGATGGCGCATTCGGGCGGGGTCCCACTGGGGCTTTCTGTGGAGCTCCCTATGGGGTCACGAAGTGCTGTGCTGGGTGGTGGATGAGGCTTGTGGGCGGTCCCATTTTGGCCCATTCGGGCTTCCGGTGGAGCTCCCTATGGGGCCACGAGGCGCTGTACTGGATGTTGGATGGCGCACGCGGGCGGTCACACTGGAGCCTTCGGTGGAGCCCCCTACGGGGCCACGAAACGCTGTACTGGGTGGTGGATGGCGCCTGCGGGCGGTCCCTCTGGGGCCTTCGGTGGAGCCCTCTATGGGGCCACGAAGCGCTGTATTGAGCGGTGGATGACGCATGCGAGCGGTCCCACTGGAGCCTTCGGTGGAACTCCGTATGGAGCCACGAAATTCTATGCTGGGTGGTGGATGACGCATGCGGGCGGTCCCAGTGGGGCCATCGGTGGAGCTCCCTATGGGGCCACGAAGCGCTGTGCTGGGTAGTGGATGACGCATGCGCGGTCCCACTGGAACCTCTGGTGGAGCTCTCTATGGGGCCACGAAGCGCTGTGCTGGGTGGTGGATGACGCATGCGGGCGGTCCCACTGGAGCATCCGGTGGAGCTTTCTATGGGGCCACGAATTGAGAGGGGAACGGGAGGAAGAGGAGGAGGAGGAGGAGGAGGAGGAGGAGGAGGAGGAGGAGGAGGAGGAGGATGAGAAGGAGGAGGAGGAGGGACGAAGAGGAAGGAAGGAAGGAAGGAAGGAAGGAGGAAGGGAGGAAAATGCGGGGACCGTCTCTTCAAAACGAGGACCCAACACCACAGGATGGTTGGGACAAATCCTTGGTGCTAGACGTGCCCCATCTGCTGTGTGCACCCTCTGCTAGGCAATGGCCCTCCCCAATTTCTTTATAACAGACTCCTTGGTGCC